CAGGTATGCGACAGGCGTGTGGATGGAATGTGATAGGTGCAGTATGTGCACTGCAGGTGTCTGACATGTGTGTGACAGGTGCAGCAGGCGTGTTCATACATGTCGAATGCCGTGGGACATGGTGTGCGTATTGGGACTGCGCAGGGAGATGTTGAGCACGATGACACAGTTGGTCACGATGAGAGTGGCTACAAACATCGAAAAAATCAGGTACCTGCCAGAGACAGGGAGGAGGGAGGAAGAGGAAGAGGAGGGGAAAAAAAAGCTGAATTAGCCAAGGAGACAGCAGTCCATCCAGCCGGTGACACTTGATAGTGTGAAAGACAGCTTGAAGCAAAACTAAAAAAAAAGATCATTTTCACAAGCCCATAGGGAGGGAAATAGTTGTTTTAAAGCTAAATTTGTTAAAGAGATAAAGAGAACCAAAGACATTGGACACAGAAACTGGATACAGACAGACCTGACCGCCCAGAGAGGACAGGCTCAGTGACCACAGCCAGGATGTAGAAACTGGACAGACCTGACTGTCCAGAGAGGACAGGCACAGTGACCACGGCCTGGACATAAAATTTTGTACAGCATTTTCTGCTGCACTGTGAGAAATACTCCAGGATTAGACAAACCTTCTTCCATAAAATAAGAAATCAGCCAGAAAGAGAGAAATCTATTGGTTGATTATTACTGTCCTGTCCTATGCTGTGAACTGTCCCTTGCTTTGCTCGCAGTGTCAAGGGCCTGTGGAGACCGACTCACTTCCCGATGAGGGGCACTGACAGCGACGTCTCCGGGATCTGCTGGGCAATCAGGAACAGGAAAACCGTCTGAGCCAGGAGCACCGAGATGGACACTGTCAGCTTCTGCCCTCCAGCTGGAAAAGGAGAAAGGCATAGGTGAACAGGGCAGCAGGGAGAAACAGAGACACAGGTGACTTGGGATAAGGATATATTGGAAATAAGGATAGAGGGAGATGGATTATGATCAGGAGAGAGGGATTGGGACAGAGGGTGAGAGTTTGCAACAGAGGGAAAGGGATTGGGACAGAGGGAGAGGGATTGGAACCAGAAGAGAGGGATTAGGA